CCATAACAAGTGGAGGCATAAACAGGCCGTAGCCTACATTTGTGCCAATCAATCACCAAGTTTTGGTCACTCAGATGTAGCCAGCTGTTCAAACTGTGTTGAAATACACAGTTTCTGTACTTCACTTCCATTCTCTGTACATCACCTTCCTTTTTCTGTCCATAAGTCTTCCGCCACGTGGCTGTGCTGGAGTCTGAGAGCCTACTCTGACACAAGAGGCTGCCTGATTCATGAATGGATCATTGCTAAATTAAGGTCTTTTAAATTGAATTCAGCTGAAGTGTTTCTTTTAACAGCAGATTTCAGGGTTTTGGCCTCATGGTCTCCAAGCAAAGGTCTGTGGTCAAAAAGTATCACTTTGGGCACCAGGTTATAAAAAGAAATACACTCTGAGAAAGGGATGAATGAATAACAAACGAATGAAACCTGAAACAAGCAGGCCTCACATATCTCATTTCCAGGGGTTGCATGGTTGGGAACTGAAATTCCTAAAACAGGCTGTTTCCAGGGAAACTACAGATGGTAGAACTTGCTAGTACAATAAGCAGAGCCCGCTCTGTACCCACTTCTGAAAGATGTTCCTTTTCCAGACCTTGAGATCCAACCTTCCCCAAATAAGAGCAGTGGACTCTTCACTGAGGTGCTCACTAGTTTCATGTTCCCCACACCCCCCTCTGCCAGCTCTATGTCTTTCTTTCTTTCCTAACTTCCTTCCTTCCTTCTTTCCTTCTTTCTTTCTTGTTGTTTTTTGTTTGTTTGTTTGTTTGTTTGTTTTTTGATGGAGTCTTGCTTTGTCATCCAGGCTGGAGTGCAGTGGTGCGATCTCAGCTTACTGCAACCTCCGCCTCCTGGGTTCATGCAGTTTTCCTGCCTCAGCCTCCCGAGTAGCTGGGATTATAGGCGCATGCCACCACGTCCAGCTAATTTTTGGATGGGGGTTTCACCATGTTGGCCGACTGGTCTCAAACGCCTGATCTCAAGTAATCCACCCACTTCAGCCTCCCAAAGTGCTGGGATTACAGATATGAGTCACTGCACCTGGCCAGCCAGCTCTATTTCTAGCAGAGAGCCAAATCTTTTATAAGAAGCATTTTCAGGACAAAACCAGAATGCTTTGAAGTCAGTGACTATTTATTTATTTATTTATTTATGTAGAGACAGAGTCTCACTCTGTCATCCAGGCTGGAGTGCAGTGGCATGATCTCGGCTCACTGCTACCTCCGCCTCCTGAGTTCAAGTAATTCTCCTGTCTCAGCCTCCTGAGTAGCTGGGATTACAGGTGCCTGCCACCACGCCTGGCTATTTTTTGTATTTTTAGTAGAGACGAGGGTTTCACCATGTTGGCCAGGCTGGTCTCGAACTCCTGACCTCAGGTGATCTGCCTGCCTCAGCCTCCCAAGGGCTGGGATTACAGGCGTGAGTCACTGCATCCAGCCTGAAGCCAATGACTTCAAATTCACTGAAGAAATTTTGAACCTGGTTCAGTGGCTCAGGCTTGTAATCCAGCACTTTGAGAGGCTGAGGTGGGAGGACCACTTGAGCTCAGGAGTTTGAGACCAGCCTGGGCAACATAGTGAGACCTCATCTCTACAAAAACAGCAACAAAAAGAAATTTCATTAGATGTCCTGAAGAGGGGAGAGAAAATAGAGAAGATGCTCTTGGGGATAGAAAGAGCAAAGAAGTGGTTCTGCTGTCTTCCCACCAACTTTCCCCACCAGAGGAAGAGGCTGCAGGTCTGTGAAGCCCACTCCTCCTCTCTCCCGGGCAGCACACTAGGGGCAAAGCCTCAGAGGAGGATGGGCCTGGTGAACACAGTGGGGCCCAGCACAAGGCCTCCAGACTCAGCCAGGAGTTCCCTGCCCCGGGTGAGTGTGGAGCAGGGCACTTTGACTTCAACGGACGAAAAAGGCTTGGCCAGGGATGATGTCTGTGGTGACCATGGGAAACTGAGATTAAAGGACTGTCCTCATGTTCAGGGTGTGCAAGAGCCTCTCGGGTCTGCTAATTAGTAATGGCTGAGACTAAATTTCCATCATCCCTGTGGGATAGGGATTTGGAGTGAAATGTTAATTTCATGTAAATACATTAACATGATATTTCTGGCACACCTCTGTCGTAGGCTGAGATTCACACTCATTATGTGAGGAAACAGCTTCTTGGAATTCTTCCCGCTCTGTCTCAGACTCAGTGGTTCTAAGGACCTCGCAAATCAGCTGTGGGTTGAGGCAGGGGACTGAGCAATTGGCTGGCAGGGTGGGGAAGCAGGTCGACTCCACGCTCTAAAAAGCTCTCTGGAGCAAGCTTGAGGGTCCACTTCACCCAAATCCTTCTACTGCCTCTGCAGGGGACTGGATTTTTCACCACTCTGGACAAGCTAGATGTAGGGTCCCTGCGGGCCTGGGACTGTGGTACCCTCTGAGCATAGTTAGGCTGGGTGTTCCGGGACTCCAGGGTGGCCAACCCAGGACTGAGGGAGGCCCCAGGATATGAGTATTTCCATTTTAAAACCAGGTAAGTCTTGCAGAAACAGGGACTAGTTGGTCACCTGATCTTGCTCTTGGTTCATTATCTCATCCATCCCTGGCTTCCAGAGGATGTCCCAAAGTCATCTATCTCAGACTGGAGGTTGGAAATGGGATAGGAGAATCCCTCCCCTTTTTCCACAACCACCCAGATGGGAAAGAAATGCTATGATCTCCCTGGGAATCTAGAAAGAGAAGAGGGTCAGGGCTGGGACTTGCCAAGTGGTCAAGTGGGAACACATTTGACTCAATGGATTTACTCCACCTCTGTGGTTACATCCCTGGTAAATCAACAGCAATTGAATGTTTCTCAGATTTTCCCGCCAACCCTGGTCTCAGCACCAGGGACCAACCAGAAGAGGAGAGGCCTGGAGCTCTTCTCCGTGGTCCTCTAACATTGGTATCTGGCAACACCAAGACCAGCCATTTTGGAGTAAAGTTAGAGTACCTGCAATCTAAACTGGCAATCTAACTGGGAGGAGCAGAGAGGGACTGGCCTGCAGCAAGGCCCCAAATTGTGGTAAGTTTCAGGCTCCAGGAAGCTGTGTCTGCCCTAAAGAGGAGGCTCCTCACCCATCACACCTAGTAAAAAGGCCCCAGGGATTCCGGCTCCCAGGCAACACTCCAGGCTATGCGGCAGCTACTGACCTCATTCCTCTAAATCCCTCCAGGACTGCCCAGACCTCTGCAATAAAACGGGGCCCAGGCAATTCCCTAGATGTGCCTGGATTCTTGAAAGAGCTTTGCTGAGCTCCTGTACAGAACTTTGCCCTTACTTTTGACTTTCACAGCCCCTTGTGAAGTAGGGAGTAAAGCAAAAGCTAATTAAGCCACTTAATTTAGAATTGAAAGGAGGTTTAAGATTTCACCTGGAGGAAATGGTTCCAGGGTGGAGAGGACTGTGTATTTCACATGGTATACTTTACTTCCCTGAAACTTTCCCTGCCACCTTGGTTATACCACAGCATGGCAGCATTTATGCCCTTCATCATGAAAGCTTGCATATCTGTGTGTCTATTTAAGCAAATTCACTTCTTAGTGTTATTGAGCATGACTGCGTGTCAGGGGCACCAGCTAGGCACTTTCAATAGACAATACCATTTACGCTTTCCAAACCCATGGGAGGTAGGTACTATTATTATGCTCATTTTAGGGACGGAAAAAAAAAACAAAATTTAGGATATATTTTGTTGGCCAGGTGTGGTGGCTCATGTCTGTAATCCCAGCATTTTGGGAGGCCGAGGCGGGCAGATTTGGGGCCAGGGGTTTGAGACCGGCCTGGCCAACATGGTGAAACCCCGTCTCTACTAAAAATACAAAAATTAGCCAGGTGTGGTAGCAGGTGCCTGTAATCCCAGCTACTCAGGAGGCTGAGACAGGAGAATCGTTTGAACCCGGTAGGTGGAAGTTGCAGTGAGCAGAGATGGTGCCACTCGAACTCCAGCCTGGGCGACAGAGTGACTCATCTCAAAATAATAATAATAATGTCTTTTGTCATGAGCTGTGTGGGAGTAGAACTTGAATCTTGAGCCTGACCCTGACTGGCTCTGTCCTGCCTCTCTCTGTCCAGAGACACATAAATGTACACGAAAATATTTCATATGTGTACGTCATGCCACCTATTAGGGGCAAAGGGCAAGGATTGTATGGCACATTTCTTTAAAATCTCAGAATGCTATGGATAACATTCTATAGATTTTACAAATTAAAAAAAAAAAAAAAAAAAACTGAGGCAGGTCCACAGTCACACAGTAAGTTAATAAAAAACATTCCGCCTAGAATTGCTGCCTTGGGAATTCAATGTCCATAGAGCTATGGGGTTGGGCGCTAGCTCAGGCCACCAGGTGAACAAATTAATGAAAGAGTAAGAATGAACGCATGTATGAAGAGTGAGTAATTTATGGGTGAGCTGGTTTGAGATCATCAGTCAGATCTCGCAACAAAAGGTGTCACGGAGCTCCTAAGTAGCTCGAGATTAACCTCCAGGTTCCCTCAGTGCCAGGTCAACTGCCAAGGATCCTGCCCACCTCTTGCCACGCACTTCTCCCCTCTGGACCCTTTTTCTCTTGTTGAGGGGATTCCAGGGTGGTATTTACCACCTCTTCAAAAGGAATCAAGGGAAAACAAAACACACAATAATCTCAAAAGGGCAAAGATGTTTTCTCCCTTTCGGCTCCCCACCCGCAACACAAACGCAAACGCAATCGCCTATCCAAAGCGCTATTTGGAGCCAGATACTGTATGACTCGGCTTGCTTTTCTCCCAGGGGCTTTACTGGAGCAAGCTTGAGGAGGAGTTACATGTGAAAATGCAGTAGCGGATCAAGCTTGCGGGTAGGTGAGAATTTTCTACCATCGCATGTGAATGGGCTGCCCTCTTCGGAGCGCAGGAGAAGTGAAGACAGGAGGCCAGAACCACCTTTCCCAGCCCTCCCAGTCCCAGCTGCCTGCGTGCCAGGCGACAACCTTGCTACTCACATCTGCCTCGTTCCAGAGCCCTGGGATGCAGAAGGACTCCAGCAGGTCACTACCACACAGCAGCAGGATCCGCAGCTCTGAGGAGGGGGAGGAGAGTTTGCAAAGGGGGTAAGTGGAGGCCTGGGAAGCATTCAGCTCTCAGCCTTCTCTCCCTGGTGCATACACAACTCTCACCTTTGGGGCTGTGGGGCCAGGTTCTCCCAGCTGACCCTGCCCCAGGGCGTGTGCAGTGCAGAAACCCCTGCTCCCCTTTCCCTCGGGCTCGTTTCCACAGCACCCTCAATCCCTGCGGGAAGAATTACTCATGCAAGAAGAGAAGGTCGTAGAGGGTGACCAACTGCTCTGGCTTTCCCAGGACATGGATCTTTCAGGGCTAAGCCAGGATGGTTCATTACTGTGACAGTGGCTGAGCCAGCGACACGCCTTGTCTAACGTCTGATGTCCTCTTTCTTGCTCCCTGTCAAGCTCGAACGTCAACGGAATTTGGATTCTCTGCTACTCTGCATTGTCTGGAGTTTGTCTCCCTGACATGGTAGGGGGGTGTGAGGGGACATGGAGTGTACCTGGAGGTAGCTGAGTATAGCAAATGTGTCACATGGCCGCTGTCCCCAGCAAAGGGCTTGAGAGCAAGGCTGAGGCCCCTCACGGTGCCCGTACTTGTCCTGGCACCCAGGCGCACTTCCTGCGCGTCAGCTGTTTTTCTTCCCTCATTAAGCCCACGCTGAATTATCCCAATGAGGCCCACCGGTGTTTAAAACAGGCAGCGAGCGGGCTCACTTAATTAACTGAGAACAGCGTGAGGAGCATCCTCGCCCAGGAGGTGGCTCAGGGTGGAGCACAGCGAGGCTCCCAGCCATCCCGGCCCTAGGTGGGACTCCTGAAGCGGGGGGAGGCTGCTGGGCCAAGGGTGGGCAATGCCAGCATCTCATGGTCCCCTGGACAGGGCAGCCTTCTCACCTCAGGGAGCCCCACTGAGGGCTGGGATGGTGACTGTGAAATATTCCTGCAGCCTGTCTCCTCTCCTCTCCATCAGACCTTAGTCTAATGATCTGTTTGTGTGCAGGGGTTTTGCTTTATCTTTACAGCCCCAGGGTCTGGCAGAGTCACTGGCTTGCAGTAGGTGCTCAGGCATGTTGAATGGGTGAGGCGACCGATGAGCTGACAGCAGAGGTCCTGCAGGGCTTCTGCTCTTGCAGCATGGGGTCACTGGGGAAAATGTTGGCCTGAGTCAGTGGTGCCTCTGCGTTGCGCCATGGGACTTCTGACCCAACTCCCCAGCGGTGGAGGGGAAGCGCGCTTGCTATGTCTGACAGGAGCCGGGCTGGGCTTATTTCTGGGAGCCACCCGGGCTTCTAGGTCAAAAGGGCACGTCTCTGTAATTCTGGCTACCTAAAAGTCCAGTTAGATCAAGCTTGTCCAACTGTGGCTTGTAGGCCACATACAGTCCAGGGTGGCTCTGAATGCAGCCTAAAATAAATTAGTAAACTTATTTATTTATTTATTTTTGGAGACAGAGTCTTGCTCTGTCACCCAGGCTAGAGTGCAGTGGTGTAATCTTGGCTCACTGCAACCTTTGCCTCCCAGATTCAAGCAATTCTCTTGCCCCAGCCTCCCAAGTAACTGGGATTATAGGCGTGCACCACCATACCTGGTTAATTTTTGTACTTTTAGTAGAGAAGGGGTTTCACCAAGCTGGCCAGGCTGGTCTCAAACTCCTGACCTCAAGTGATCCACCCGCCATGGCTCCCAAAGTGCTGGGATTATAGGTATGAGCCACCATACCTGGTGTGTAAACTTTTCTTAAAACATTATGAGATTATTTTGGTGATTTTTTTTTTTTTTTTTTTTTTTTTTGAGACGGAATCTCGCTCTGTAGCCAGGCTGAAGTGCAGTGGCCCAATCTCAGCTCACTGCAACCTCCACCTCCCAGGTTCAATCAGTTCTCCTGCCTCAGCCTCCCGAGTAGCTGGGACTACAGGCACACGCCACCACACTCAGCTAATTTTTGTATTTTTAGTAGAGACAGGGTTTCACTGTGTTGGCCAGGATGGTCTTGATCTCTTGCTACATGACACACCCACCTCGGCCTCCCAAAGTGATGGGATTACAGGTGTGACCCACTGCTCCCGGCTTTTATTTTTATTTTTTATTTTTAGCTCACCAGCTATTGTCAGTATTAGTGTATTTTATGTGTGGCCCAAGATGATAATTCTTCCAGTGTCACCCAGGGAAGCCAAAAGATTGGACAGTCCCGTATTAGATGATCACGTCAATAAGGCATGTGCTGGCCCTCAGCTTTCCCTGTATCAGTGGTTCTCAACTGAGGGCAGTTTTGCAATTGCCAAGGGACATTGGCAATGGCTGGACACTTTTGGGTGTTAGGACTGGAGGGGGATGGCGGCATGCTACTGGCATCTAGTGGGTAGAGGCTAGGAGCACTGCTAAACACCCTGCAATGCACAGGAATGCGCCCCCTACCCCCAACACAGAATTATCTGTTCCCGAATGTCAATTAGTGCCAAGGTTAAAAATCCCTGCTTACAGCCATGAAAATGAATCTCTTTCCTATTCCCAAGCCAGGGTCGCAGTATCCCAACCAAATATAATAGCACTTTTCTTTTTTAAGCCAAAGCACAGAGAGTTCCAGAGTGGGGTCTCTGTCACCTTTTCTTGCAGGACCAGCACAAACATTTAAGTCACAGACAAGCAGTCCCAGCCAGGCTTGAGATCCCACGTGTGGCCGCTGGAGGGCAGCAGTGACTTCTCCTAGTTTGTGTCTGAGACTAAGGCAAGTTTCCAATCCACCAGCCTGTGGCCTGGGGCAGCCCGGGAGGAGCAGTTAGCCTTTAGAAGCATGTAAATAGGGTCAACAGATGCTAATAGAGCTGGGAGAAAACTGCTTTTCCTCATTTAGTGTGCAAGGAAATATCAAAGAGGGGAACATGTGAGCCCCAGGGCCTCACACAGCGCAGGAATGAAGAGTAGGGAGGCAGAGTAGCTGGGCCAGCCTCCTTCCCCAGGTCACCCTGATCCAGGGCCACGAGCTGGAATGCAGCTCTCTGTCCACACTCCTCTCCCAGGAATCCCGGCTATGCGAAGCCTGGGCCCTGCGGCCCATCCCAGTTTCCACTGCACACAGCCACCACCTGGAACCATGCCAGGACCTGAGCCCAGGCTGACAGCTGTGGCTGCTGAGCTCTCCTTTCTCAGAACCTAAGTATTCTCTATTCTCACCCCCCACTGTCCCTTCTCCATCACATGCAGGTGGACCCTCCCTCTGAGTGAGCACAGGGGATGTGGAGGGAGACAGGCAGAGCCTGGGGATGCCAGAGGTGAGAGGTCACTCCCAGCTGCATTTTCCATCCCTGGCGGCTGGCTCACCACAACTCCAAACTGCTACAGAGCAAGAATAGTAAGCAGAGACCCCTGCCCCTCCAGAGGTGGTGGTGAGCTAATGGAAGTGAACACAGCAGTGCGCTGTGCAGCACTCATCATCAGTGTCCTCTCTGGGAGGGGACTCCTCGAGTCAGGGTAGGGAGAGCCTGATCTACCCACCTGGGTGCTGGAAAGGCAAGCAAGGCTATGGCTGAAGTTTGCCATAATGGAAAGAGAAATGCACATGGAATACAATGAGAAGTCCTAAGGCTGCTCTGAGCTCACTGCGGGGGAAGGCAGCAGGTCTTGGCCAGGCTGGAACTGCAGGGAAGTGGAGTACAGCAGCTTTCAGCCTAGCCCTGCACCTTCACTCCCATCCTTGCCTGATGGCATCCTGGGGCTGCAGAACCTACAGCCAAATGCTCCTGCCTGTTTTGGGGAGCAACCAGGAAGATGGGTGCTCCTTCCTGTGGTCTTCAGAGACTGACTGACGTGCTGGTCAATAAAGGATATTAAAATAGGCCAGGCACGGTGGCTTACGCCTGTAATCCCAGGACTTTGGGAGGCTGAGGCAGGTGGATCATGAGGTCAAGAGATCGAGACCATCCTGGCCAACATGGTGAAACCCCGTCTCTACTAAAAATACAAAAAATCAGCTGGGCATGGTGGCGCATGCCTGTAGTCCCAGCTACATGGGAGGCTGAGGCAGGAGAATTGCTTGAACCTGGGAGGTAGAAGTTGTAGTAAGCCGAGATCGGGCCACTGCACTCCAGCCTGGTGACAGAGTGAGACTCTGTCTCAAAAAAAAAAAAAAAAAAAGATATTAAAATATAGTAAAAAATTAGGAAGGGAGGGATTTTGAATATTAATTCCTTTTGTTTTAAATTTTTTAATTTTAAGATAATGTAACTTAATTTTTATTAATGGCTATATTTAAAACTGGTTCACACAATTCCTGAAAACTGGCCGGGTGCATGGCTCATGCCTGTAATCTCAGCACTTTGGGAGGCTAAAGCAGGTGGATCACTTGAGGTCAGGAGTTGGAGACCAACACGGAGAAACCCCGTCTCCACTGGAAATACAAAATTAGCCGGGTGTGATGGTGCATGCCTGTAGTCCCAGTTACTCAGAGGCTGAGGCAGGAGAATTGCTCAAACCCAGGAGATGGAGGTTGCAGTGAGCTGAGATCGTGCCACTGCACTCCAGCCTGGGCAACAAGAGCAAAACTCCACCTAAATAAATAAATAAATAAATAAATAAAAATCCTGAAAACTTTACAAATGGTTGTAAGAAACCAACTGAGCTGACTGAGGGACACACTGCACCTCAGATGACAGGATGAGACCCATAGAAGCCCCTTGAAATGACGTCACATCTGCCGGGTGTGCAGGAAGAACCACGTGCTCAGGACAACCCCTGCCTCTCAGGATCGCAGCGGGAGCCCTAACTTCAGCCCTTGGACAGAAAAGTACCAGGAGCAGATGCTTGGAGGACCTTTTCAGCTGGATATTTAAGATTGAGCGTGTAGACACCAGGCTGCCTCACCCTAGAGCTCCAGGCATTCCTGATGTCACTGACCATTCTTGTCCCCTGGTACCTGCGCCAGCCCCAGCTCTATTCTGACGTCTCCCTGTCCTTTCCCCAGCTTCAGACACCTGCATCTCCCACTTGCCTCTGTCACCCATTCTGAAACCCTGGGAAGATTTCAGTGTTCCTATCTGCTTCTCAGCTTGCTTGTAGGGGTCATCAACTCCTTCCCACCCTGACAGCTGTGTGACCAGCCCCCACCGGCTCGAGCCCGCCCTGGCCTGCTCTGGTATCGGGTTTGGCAGGCAGCCGTCACACAGACAGTGGCGTGCCTTAGCTCTGCCCAAGGCTGCGAAGGAGGTGTGGAGGCGGCTTTCGGTCCCCTCTCTTTCACCGTCTTCAAGCACTGAATGAGGAAGGTGGGGGGAGGGGGGCTCTTCTGCCTCATTTGTGTGCAGTGTGTGTGCTCAAAAGAAGGGTCTCTCCGGCTGGTGCCAAAGCTCAACTTTCATGTCTTTTACAAAAGGGAGGGGAGGCTCTGAAGGAAAAATCACCAACTGAGCCAATCCTCTCCCTTGGGAGCTGGCCAGAGTTCAGTTAGGAGAGATTAACGGGAGCTAACTACGAATGCAATCTTAGACTGGAAGCAATCCCTTTTCCGAGAGGAGACCCTGCTGCAAAACACCCCCTGGACTTTCAAGCCTCTCTGCTCCCCATGTTTCCTGCCATGAAGGCAGGGGCTCCAAACGCCCCATTTTCCCCACTTCCACAGTTTCACTCACCGATCTCTTCATACCGCATCACCGTGCCCAGATTGGCATTCTCATCTAAGGAAGCAAGAAGGAAGGAAGGGCGTTAAGGAACCAGCTTCCTGGTCCCCAACACTCAATTTGTCTGAGGGCCTCAGCAGGAGTTATTGGGATGGGGTGGGTGAGGGCAAGTAGGGGGGTGATGTGCCACCCTGCACAGGTGACACCCAAGGAGAGTGAACGGGGAGCACAGTCAGGTGTAAAATGAACAGGAAGTTCTTCTCCTGCTCCAGGAGCGGCACTTCACAGAGCTGGGACTTTCAGAATGAGGCAGCCGGGCTGGGGAGCCAGTGACAAACACACACACTCATGCTGAATGCTGTTTCTTCCCCAAGATCTTGGGAGGGAGGCTGGCCACAAGAGCAACAACCTTACAACCTGGCAAGATGGCTTTTGGAGTCACAAGATGTGGCCGGCTCACTCTAGGGACTCCCTGGTTTAAAGAACAAGCACACTGGGGGTGCAGAACTTTTTCACATGGTGGAATTTGGCAAGGGCCTGCAGGAAGATGGGGCAGACTGAGCCTTCGATGTCTGTGCAACACCTGTAGGTGCACACACACAGTCACGGGGATTTGTGGTGGGGGGAATGTGCTTGAGGCTCTTTGCTGAAGGAATGAAGGGAGGAGAGACAGAAAAGAGACAGGACTGGGGGTCAAGATGCTTGGTTCCTCACCTACGAAGGTGAAACGCTCCACCGGCGGGCGGACACAGCAGATCCGGCTGAGGCTTTCTCCCACCTTCCCCAAGATCTTGGCTATGGAAGAGAGCAAGTCAGACAGGGACAGAGGGAGAGACCCACTCACAACTGGCACTCATGTCGGCCCGGCATTGGGGCCGCTGTAAACATCAGGGTGCGTGGAGAGGGCAGGGGTGGGGGAAGGAGGCAGCAGGAGGGTAGAGAGAGAGAACAGAAACATGACAGCACAAATTCCTCCTTCTCGCTCACAGTCTGAGGCACACACATTGTGAGCCCTCGACTGGAAGCCATCTTCTGCTTATGTGTATTTCATTGTTGAAATTCACTGAAAACTTGGAAAACATAGAAGAGGGAAATATATAAAGAGGAAAAGCGCCCATAATCCCAACCCAAGAGATAACTACTGCTAACCTGTTGCTATATTATTTATTTTCTTTCACGTTTTAAATGTGTATTATGCTGGTATGTCTATGTAAATTGGAGCAGATTTTCCAATTAAAGGGCATATAGGCTGCTGGCTTCTTTTATTTTCTGTATCATGAGCATTTCTTCCCCAGGTTTGTCCCAAGCCTATCCTTAGCTGCTCCTCCCTCTGGACAGTTACACCCACATCCAAGGAGACTCAGCAAAGTACATGCTTGGAACCATTTCTGCTGGGCTAAGGTGTTCGTTCCTTCCCATGCAGATGGTCTTTAGTATCATTAGACATCTTATTTGGCTGAGACGGATCTGGTTTTCAATTCTCCCTCTAGGTTCCAATCCAGAAAATTTTTCTGAGCCCTCCACATGTAGCTGTATGCAAACTGTGAAATTCTGACTCTTCTTTGTGAATTACCCTGTTTATAACAGACCAATAATATAATAGCTTATGGTCTCTAGGCTTGAAGAGTAATATCAGAATCTGTTTCTTGGAGTTGGCTTGGAAGAAAATTTTAGAGCATGGACCTTGGAGCCTGACAGTATTGAATATGAATTCCAGCTCTTCTACTTTTGAGCTGTGTGACAAATCGGCAAATCACATTTCTTCTCTGAATCTGTTTTCTGTTTGAAATGGGAACATAATGTCTGTGTCACAGTATTACTGCATTAAATAAGAACACAGATAAAGCACGAGCATCGTTTGGGCATATAGTCCTAGGTTTGGGGTATGTGCTGGTGCTCTCCGTCACTGGATTATTGGTGGCTAAGAGTGTGGGGGTTCTGGGTGCAGACTGCCTGGGTGTGACTCACGGCCTGCTTCTTCCTCACTGTGTGACCTTGATCCTCAACCTCCCTAGAAGAGGCAGAGAGAAATGTCCCATTTTGTGTATTTAATTCCCAGTTAAGGCAATTATTTCTTAAAATTTATGAGTTTTTTTTTTTTTTTTTTTTTTGTATTTTTAGTAGAGACGGGGTTTCACCATGTTGACCAGGTTGGTCTCGATCTCTCGACCTCGTGATCCACCCGCCTCGGCCTCCCAAAGTGCTGGGATTACAGGCTTGAGCCACCGCACCCGGCCTGTTTTTGTTTTTTTGAGACGGAGTCTCGCTCTGTCGCCCAGGCTGGAGTGCAGTGGTACAATCTCAGCTCACTGCAATCTCCACCTCCTGGGTTCATGCAGTTCTCCTGTCTCAGCCTCTCGAGTAGCTGGGACTGTAGGCACACACCACTTACCACCCACCTGGCTAATTTTTTTTTTTGTTAATTTTAGCAGTGACGGGATTTCACCATGTTGGCCAGGATAGTCTCAATCTCCTGACCTTGTGATCTGCCCACCTCGGCCTCCCAAAGTGCTGGGATTAAAGGCGTGAGCTGCCACGCCTGGCTTAAAATTTGTGTATTTTTTGAGACAGGGTCTCACTCTCTCTCCCAGGCTGGAGTGCAGTGGCACAATGCCCCACTTCCTGTGACCTCTACTTCCTGGGCTCCAGAGATCTTCCCACCTCAGCCTTCTGAGTATCCGGCACTACAGGTGTGAGCCACCATGTCCGGTTAATTTTTGTTATTATTATTATTGGGTAGAGGGGGGCGGTTTCGTCACGTTGCCCAGGCTGGTCTCGAACTCCTGGGCGTAAGCCACCCACCCACCCACCTCAGCCTTCCAAAGTGCTGGGATTACAGGCACAAGCCACCAGGCCAGGCTATATGTTTATATTTAAATGCAGGAAAAGAGTGCACACCACCACCCGCTTCTCTGATTGTGACTGGTTTGCTCTGATGCTTGATACTCAGGGTTCTCAAAGTACTGTCCCTGGACTAGCAGCATCAGCAGCACCTTATTAAAAATACAAGTCCTCTTTCCCAGACCCACTGAATCAAGTTCTGGGTGGATCCCATCAATCACTATTTTAACAAGCCCTCCACATGATTCTGAGGTTTGAGACCCACACATCAATGTTTCCCTACCTGCAGTGGGCTTGTTGGTCACGTTGCTGTTCTGGTAAATGGGCTGGGGGGTCTCGTTCTGTGGCTGTCCAATCACAGGCGTCATGGAAGGTGTGTTGACATTGGAGAGGATGCAGCCAGTCACCCTCTAGGGAGAGGGAGAAGAGTGTTATTAGCCACGTGACTTTGAGAGTCATTTCAAAGTTATCTCCAAATGGTCATCTGCTTGTCCAACATGGGGAGGCCACCCAGAGCCAAGGAAGAGCCCTGGGGATGGGTTCCAGACCCAGCTGCATCACGTAGTCACTAGGCTGGCAGGAGACAGAGCAGCTTCATGGGAAAAAGCATGAGATGTGGTATTATAAGGGGTCCTGGATCCGAATTCGGGCTCTACCTCCTTCTAGCTATGTGACCTTCATCGCTCCTGAACCTCAATTCAGGAGTCTAACCATATAGTTGCCTTTTTCAGCTGTGGTAGGATCACACTAGCAAGCATATGCAAAGAGCCTATGGGGTGCATGACACACGGCAGGAGCTCCGTCAGCAGCTGGCGATGCTGGAACCTTCTGTGTAACATGAATATCTGCCCTCCCCGACTGCTTCTTGGGGCTCAAATGAGATCATGTCTGCAAAAGGGCTCTGTAAGCTTGGAAAAGGTCATACAAACACAAGGCATGATCACCACCTGCGGCCTCTTCAGGCCAGAGCTGTCAGTAACACAGCCAAGCAAGAGGGAGAGCGGTGCCAGGCAGCACAGGGTGCGTTTGTGCTGCGGGAAGCGGGGTGGGTGGGTTCTGAGCATTCTCTTGCCTGCTCAGTGTGAATACACATGCCACAGCCAAATGTGTATATTATCCATTGTCCTGAGTTATCTGCCAGCTACTCCTCGCCAGTGCTGCAGAAAGCACAGAGCTGATAAGGCAGCATTCCTCACAGCTGACCCAGAAGAGACCCTGCTGGTCCAAAGGGATGAGGGGACAGGGGGAGTAGCTGTTGGGCAACAGAGAAACAAAGGATGAACTTCCGATTTGTTCAGCCTCACGAGGGCCACTGCTTGTTCAAGGTATCTTGGTTCCCAAAAGCCAGCAGCTCGGGTACCCACCACCCACTCCTGCACGCCACCCTTTCTGGATTCGGTTTCTGCTGCTAGGGGACCCCTAGGCCCAAGGCTGGGGTGATGCTCTGGGCACCTCTTCCACAGGCCATCCTGTGGGCAGAACAGTGTGTGAGTCCTCTGAGCCCCAGAAGGGGAGGCATTTGTCTTGTGGGGCAACCTGTCACCTTGGTAAGGCTCCTGATAAGAGGAGGTCTCATCCAACCACATCTGGGAGCCAGCTGGGGCGGGCACCATGGGATCTTTACACCTGCTTGATGGGCTTCTTTGCCCAGCTGTGGCTGGTGGGGTGGAAGGGGTGGTCTGCCTTCATTTATTATTATTTCACCACCAGAAAAGAAAACACCACATTCCCGTTTCCTGACTCATCTGGTAGCTGAGGGGCTTCTTCCTCTTGCTGCCCTGTGGGTCCCATTGGACTTACTCTATCTTAGAGAAGTAGAAATGGATGGCTGCTTTCCCTGATCCTGCCTTCATCAGCCCCTGTGGGCTCCTGTGTTCTCAGAGGCCTTGACGTTGGAGAGTCGCCCCGGGTCACCTGTTAAGTCACGCATCTATCACTGTGGCAGGCCTACTCTCCATGCCAGGGACACTGGCCTCAGGCTTGCTAGCAGTTTGAAGGCTGAGAGTTCTTAGGAAGCAGCTCCAAGCTCTCGCTCCAAGGCAGGGGGCCGGCCGTGACCTACATTCTCTGCCAGTCTCTGCCCATCACTGCAACAGCTGGGGCTCCTGGCGGAGCTTCTGTGGCCCAGACTCATACCCTGGGCATGAGTAACACAGGGAGTATTCAGGAAGCCTGGGCATTTAGACAGCAAATGACAGCCAGGCTTTCTGGCCAGTATGGCTGGCACTGAGGAATGCCTACAGGGTCCCCATTCCTCCCTTCTGTCATGGAGCCTGAGGCTTCTATGTGACCAGAAAGAGCACAGCTCTGCAGGGACTCCCCAGATGACATGTAGTGTGAGAAACAGACTTGTGTAAAGTCACAGAGCTTTTAGGGATGTTTGTCACCCAGCACACCTTTGCCTATCCCGACTGATACACTCTTACAAAGTGAGATGAAGTGTCTTTCATTACTGCTATTGTGGAGACCAGCACAGAGGAGCAAGTCAGTGTGGCCCTGAGTCAGCCTCCTTTGAAGGGGACTAGAAGGGCCAGGATGTTTGAAAAGGATTCTGAAAGCCAAATGGGAAGGGAAATCAGTTTTCTTCAATTCTTGGGGGCAGAAAACAACAGATGGAAACTAGCTGGCTGCTCCTCTCTACCTCACTTGCCCTTGGCTTCCCAGAACGGAGCTCTGAAGCTCCACATCTGTTCAGATAAAGCCTGGCTGTGCAGCTGGTGGAGTGTGGGGTGGTCAGGGGCTGCTCCCCAGGAAGAAGATGGTGACAGGCCCTCTGGCAGCAGAGACACAGATGGGGCAGGGGCTCTCCCTGCAGGAGGACAGTGCCATGTGGACTGTTATCTGGGGCGGGGGAGGGCTCCGCCGCAGTCCGTGGAGGCGAGCAGAATTTACTGTTTGCTGTCTTGGTTGGTCAGGCTTCTCGCCATCGGTGGCATTGCTTTTCGTCCTGTCACTGTGGAGTTGATGGTTTGGCACTGATCTGGGAAGGGTGTTTTCTGCACACTCTGGCCAGTGCTGCTGGCTGGTGTGGAGCCCATTCTAACCTGGCAACCAGCCCTAAGGTCTCCGCAGCCCGGCCACAGGCTCCAGGCCCCAGTGGGGAACACAGAAGCTCTCACCTATCTGTGCTCAGCAAACACTCACTGTGTGTCCTCAGGTATGTGGACTCCTCTCTGCTTCCTTTTACCCACTAATAAAACAGGCATCAGACACTGTCTGCCTCTGGGGTTCTTGTGAGGAGGAATGAGTGGGAATGGGGTGCAATGACTGGCAGGTGTGATGTGCCTCAGTCACACAGCCTGTCCTGGAGTAAGGGGGCCAGTGGGGCCCCCACAGGCAGGCAGGGGCTCAGCTGCTTGTACCTCTCCTAAGTATTCCTCTCTTCTGCCTTTCATTGCCTAGTCTCCTCCTCCCTCCATTTCTGAAGTTCTATAGCTGTGATCTTAATCCCACCTTGAAAGTGCTCCCAGCTGATGAAAGCTGACCGTCATATCCAGCAGCAACGCCCCAAATGGGAGGTCAAGACAGAGGGTAGAAGACAGGGAGCAGCCCCTGGTGCTACCTGGGGTTCCTAATTCATTGTCCTTCATGCCGTTCACAGGCTGGTCTCTCTCGTAACAGGCAGAGAAATAAGAGGCTGAAAGCGGGTCAGTCGGCTGGCAGCACCTTCTCCTCTCTCTGCCTGGCTTCTGTGGGTCTAGCCCCTCTCCTGTACCCTGGTGGCCCACACCCCCCCAGCCTCAGCCCAACTCACCTTCATGAGGTCCCGGTGGTGTTCTAACACGCTGCAGGTCGTCTGCCAAGTGTCCTGGTAGCACTCCCAAGGGTCCACCCTAACATCATCAGAGAGAAGTTTCCCTTGGTTTCTGTTCTCATACTCTTTTTTTTTTTTTTTTAGATGAAGTCTCACTCTGATCCCCCAGGCTGAAGTGCGATGGCACAATCTTGGCTCACTGCAACCTCTGCCTCCCGGGTTCAAGTGATTCACCTGCCTCAGCCTCCTGAGTAGCTGGGATTATAGGCACCCACCGCCATGCCCAGCTAATTTTTGTATTTTTAGTAGGGATGGGGTTTCACCATGTTGCCAGGCTGGTCTGGAACTCCTGACTTCAGGTGATCCACCCACCTTGGCCTCCCAAAGAAGTGCTGGGATTTCAGGCGAGAGCCACCGTGCCCAGCCCTCATACTCTTTCCTTATTGTTTCCTTCCAAAAATCATAGCTCAGGAAGCTTGGCAGACCTGGCCATACTATGAGCTTAGATCTTGAATCAGATAAAACTTGGGTGTGAAGCACTTTTCTGAGCTTCAGTTTCCTCCTCTGTAAAATGAGAGGAGCATGGGATAGGCTTATGAGAAGAGATGCTGGTGCCAGTCGGCTTGGGTTTAATTTCAGCCTCAGCTCTGGCTTTGGGAAAGTTATGTGATCTCCCAGGGCCTCATCTTCCCCATCTGTAAAATGGGAATGGCAACAGTATACGAGCTTATGGTTTTGTTAGAAAGGCTCAGTAAGTTTTATATGCACAATGCTCAGTACAGAGTCTTCCTCTTATTGTTACCTACAAAATAAACCCTCCTTTGGACCCTTGAGGATTGTGACAAGGATTAACTGAGCCAGGCCTTCGTCAGGTGGTGGTTAAGGTTATCCTTGCCAGGCTGCAAGCCCTCGAGAATCAGCCCTGACTGTCTCCCTGTGCAGCGAGGTGCCTTGTGGGTGTGGAGGTGAGGCATGGCTGTCAGATGAGAGGGTGTGGACTCAGTGATGGCCAATGCCTCCAGGATACTGCTTGTGAAGTGAGCAGGGATTCAGCCCCAGACTGAGGCAGCATTGGAGCACTGGGGCTTAATTGCCAATATAATGTTACAATTATGTTGCTGCTAAACTGGGATATTTCTCAAACTTTCTTTCTTTCTTTCTCTTTTTTTTTTTTTTAGACAGAGTCTCACTCTGTTGCCCAGGCTGAAGTACAGTGGCATGATCTCGGCTCACTGCAACCTCTACCTCCTGGGTTCAAGTGATTCTCCTGCTTCAGCCTCCTGAGTAGCTGGAATTACAGGCACATGTCACCATGCCCAGCTAATTTTTGTATTTTTGGTAGAGATGGGGTTTCACCATGTTGGCCAGGCTGGTCTCAAACTCCTGACCTCAGGTGATCCACCCGCCTCAGCCTCCCAAAGTGCTGGGATTACAGGCATGAGCCCCCATGCCCAGCCTTCTCAAACATCTTAGCAGTCGTGCACCACCACCCTACCCCACCACCCCTCCACATACACGTACCTAAAGTGCCCAGAGATGAGATCCCACTAGCTGAAAACCCTTAGAGAGTCAGCTTGCCATTTGCCTGGAACCTGGCGGCCCCTAGATCCCTAACCAGGCCCTGTGCCAGAGATGGGCAAACACTTCACCTGGCTGAATGGGCTCCCAGTGTCAGGCACCCCACCCCAGCCAACCCCCACATCTAGAGACAGCTCTTAGACTCCCTAGTGATCTCAATTCCCAGGATTCTAATTTTTCCAGAGCAGCCCAGGGCAGGTGGTAGGCACTCAGTATACAGTTGTTGAATGAATGAGAGAATTATTCTGGAATCTTCTAAACACAGCCAAGCAGTAACAGTCTCCCGCCCAGTGATTTCCTCACCGGATCCCAGCATCTCCAGAAGATCAACGGTGACAACGTTAAGAGGCCTCGTTTCTAATCCTTTCTTGCCTATGGATGTATGAATGTATCATGGCTCAAGCCCTTTGATTTCCTCGGGTCTGTTTCTCACCTGAGAAAAAGCAGCTGTCTCTCTCCCTAAGCTTTGTCTTTAGGGGGATGAGAAAGTCGAAAAAGGGCATGTGCTTCTCACACAAATCACTGCGCACACAAGGCAAGGATCACTGCTGAATTGCTATTGTCGCTTCCCTTCACGGCTCTCATTCCCGCCCGCCCCACTCTTCCTGGGCGAACTCTCTGCATCCCTCATTCTGAAGTCAGCATCCCATCACCTCCCCTCTTTCATGGAAACCTCTAGGTGCTGCTTATTTTTCCATGGGGGAAATTACAGCACAAATGGCATGCCATTATTTTTTTAAAACGTCATCTTCTCATGCAAATTATAACGGTAGGAACTTTGGGGAGCATCATTAGCATAATTAGTGGAAGCTTGCTTTAATTACACTGCAAGCTCAGCGGAGGAGGGTGGAGGTGCCTTCTTAGCATGTCTGGCCAGAAAGGCAGTGAGCAGGAAAGCCACCCACCAGGTGTGATTTGGTGTGGCTGCCATTAAGGGCAGGCCCGCACCTCTCTCCTGGGGCCAGTGTGGGGCCCTTAGGGAGCCTGAGTTCAGGAATGGGAAATGACCAAGGCCAGAGAACATTTCCTGAAAGGTAGTGAGGGTTCATGGAAGTTAGCAGGAATGAAAGTGAGAGGCATTTCTGATTTTCTGGTCATGCCTCACCCAAAACCCAGTGATACTTCTAGAAGCTCCAAGAATCACGCCAGGACTCGGAGATGCCAAAGCAGATGAAACATTAAAGCTCCTTCTTTACTTTCTTTTTTTGTTTGTTTGTTTTTTGTTTTTTCTTTTTTTGAGATGAAGTCTCACTCTGTCACCCAGGCTGGAGTGCAATGGCACAATCTTGGCTCAGTGCAACCTCTGCCCGCTAGGTTCAAGCAATTCTCCTGCCTCAGCCTCCTGAATAGCTGGTACTACAGTTATCCGCCACCATGCCCGGCTACTTTTTGTATTTTTAGTAGAGATGGGCTTTCACCATATTGGCCAGGCTGGCTCCTGATCTTGTGATCCGCCCGCCTCAGCCTCCCAAAGTCCTGCGATTGTAGGTGTGAGCCACCGCGCCAAGCTCTTTCTTTACTTTCATGGGCCTCGTAGTTTGGTTCAAAAATCAAGTTATAAGTTGGGATATCCCGGGAGTTCTACTTATTGCCTCCACAAGGCTAATATCTTGCCCCTGCCTCCCCATCCTTTCAGGATCCAAATTGTTATTGGAACTCTTCTTTTTCCCCACCCCACTCCCAGTGAGTCTCCGGGGCACCTGCCTCTGGTATCTTCAGGCCACTCCTACCTGATCCAGTCGGAATTCTGGACAGCCAACTGACACATGATGAGACGGTGCCGGCTTGACACGAGTCCCTGGGAAGCAACAGAGCAATCGTTGGGAGATTCCCTCCATTCCCCACCATGTCCTTGGGATGCCAGCCCAAGCCCACCCATCGTTAAAGTGCAGCCATTTTTTAGTGGTGAGAGGGAATGAGGGACGTGACCCCTTTACTTGTGCGTTTGCCACACAGGCAGGCCTGGAATGGTGGCGAGGAAAGGAAATGAATAAAAGGCGTGTGGTGTATACCACCCCAGCGGGGTTGATAGGTGAGCCTCCATTTGTGAAGCAGCCCCTGTGTGCCCTACAGAGATGAGACTTAACTCGGCAAATGTGGCCTTGTCTTACGGCTCAGTCTGGCTAGTTAGGTGAGTTTCCCCAGAGCCCACCAAGGTGCATCTGTGGGAGGAACGGGGAATGGCTGGTAGAGCTCCTAGATCTGCCGAGACATATGGCACGGAGGGATGGGCAGGGAAATGAATTTTAAAACACATTATGAGAGGCATAGGTCGTTTTCTCCTAAAATCCTGAAAAGACTTGCCCAGTGCAGCTCAACCCACAACCAGCTGCCAACCTGGCATTCACCATACCAAGCCACGCCCAGTGGGTGTTCCTGTTCCTCTGTCAGTGAGTCCTGACTGCTCTGTGAGTGGGTCTATGGTCAGGAACGGCTGGTCCTTCCAGCTGCTGCTTCAGCTGAGATGGGAAGCAGGATGGACGCATGAACCTGGGCATTTTGTGTTTCTAGGAATCTTAGCAGAGACAGCAGTGGAGCAGTTTTTCTGCCAGGAGCTATCGGGCCACGGAGAAGGGGGTTGAAGGAGAAGGGGGCACAGGAAGGAACCCACCTGTTTTCCATAGGAGTCGTGGACAGGGGAGACAATCCCGCCAATCACAATAAACCTTCCAGTTTTGTGCAGATAATCCCTGGCTCTTTCTAATTAAGAGAAGAAACCCACACATTATAAAGAGGAAAGGCATGGATTAAAGGCGATAATTGAAATCAATACGCTCAGCTCTGTAATGCTGACGTTTATTTCCCATCTCTCTTGCCATTTAAATAGATAGTGTCAACTTTCAAAGCAAACGGTGGTGATTCAAAAGGTTAAGGAACCAGATTTCAGCCCCCAAGCAAAAGCATTTAGAATTCAAGGGAATTCATCCTGTTTTAAAGGTTCTCTGTGGGAGGAGACAGCCTAGCTCGGAGGAGTTTAAAACAAGCACCTCATTAGCAGCCATTAGAGTTACAGATTGGAATTTACCCCTATTGTCACTTGCAGAAATTACAACGTGGCGTAGTGGTTTTTTTTTTTTAAAGTCTCCTTATAATATGAAAGATGTGCTGATTGCCTCATCTAATTATTCAGAAGAGAAAAACCAGCAAAACAAATTTAAAGGGTCTTGTACATAATTACAGAGAATTAGCAATCAATCCAGAAGGCCACCATCTTTGAGTTGGTTGAGACAAAAAATTTGGCCACCTAAAAGCCTTTTATCCTTTGGAAGGTATGCAATATTGCTTTTTCAAATTTATCGGGCAAGCCCAATTTCATTTTTGTGATAAATTTTGGCAAACTAGGAAGAGGCTGAAAAATCTGGTTCTATATTACTTTCAAAACAGTTCATTTCAAGAATGTCAACAGGGGCCAGACGCAGTGGCTCACGCCTGTAATCACAGCACTTTGGGAGGCTGAGGCAGGTGGATCACGAGGTCAGGAGTTCAAGATAAGCCTGGCCAAGATGGTGAAACCCGTCTCTACTAAAAATACAAAAATTAGGGATTTCCAGCTCTCTGGAATCCCCTCCCACATAGTGGGAGCTTTATTTAAAAAAAGAGAGAGAGAGAGAGAGAGAGAAAATAACAACAACAACAACAAAAACCCCTCAAAAATTAGCTGGGGGTGGTGGCAGGTGCCTGTAATCCCAGCTACTCGGGAGGCTGAGGCAGGAGAATCACTTGAATCCACGGCAGAGGTTGCAGTGAGCCGAGATCACATCACTGCACTCCAGCCTGGGCGACAGACAGAGTGAACGCTGTCTCAGAAAAAAATAAATAAATAAATAAATAAATAAAAATGTCAACAGGTCCTGAGCTTGTACCACTGAGGAAATGTACCACTGAGGAAAATTTGGGCATGGAGTTTACAGTGAGGGAGTTTTTAAGTGGAAGGGGCCTGGGCAGCAAGGCTGGTTGTGTAGTTTACAAGCAAGTTTCCAGGATTTCTTTACTTGTTTCTTAACACTTGAAAAAGTTCTCACCGTATTTACTTCTTTTTCTTTCCTTTTTTGAGACAAAGTCTCACTCTGTCGCTTAGGTTGGAGTGCAGTAGCGCAATCTCAGCTCACCGCAATCTCCCCCTCCTGGGTTCAAGCAATTTTCATGCTTCAGTCTCCCAAATAGCTGGGATTACAGGCATGTGCTACCACACTTGGCTAATTTTATATTTTTAGTAGAGGCAGTTTTCACACACTGGCCAGGCTGGTCTTGAACTCTCAACCTCAAGTGATCTTACCGCCTTGGCCTCCCAAAGTGCTGGGATTACAAGCATGAGCCATGGCACTTGGCTGCTTTTCTTTCAATGTGAAATTTCTTAGATTTAAAAAAATTAACTAAGCTATTTTTAACACTGTTTTAGATTTACAGAATAACTGAGGAGATTGTACACAGAGTTCCATATATTTAGACCCCTCCACCTTTTCACCTCCCTCCATGCAGTTCCCTCCATTATATTAATAATTTTGCACTAGTGTGGCACACTTGATATACTTGACACATCAGTATTAACACATTATTCACTATAGTCCATAGTTTATGTTGATTCACTCTGTGTTGTAGAGTTCTGTGGGTTTTGATAATTGTATCCCTCATTATAGTATCATACCCAGTATTTTCATCTCCGTAAAAATTCAATGTTCCACCCATTCATGCCTCCTCTTTTTCCAAACCCCTGGCAACCATGGATCTGTTTACTATTTCTATAGATTTGACATTTCCAAAACACCATATGGTTGGAATCAAATAGTATGTAGCCTCTTTGGACTTGCTCTTTTCATTAAGCACTATGCATTTAAAGTTCCTCCATGTCTTTTCATGGCTCGACAGCTCATTTCTTTGAATCACTAAATGACATTCTATTATCTGGAAGTACCTCAGTTTATCCATTCATCTACCAAAGGACATCTTGGCTGCTTCCAGTTTTCAGTGATTATAAATAAAGCTGATATGACATTCATATGCAGGTTTTTGTGTAGATATAAGCTGGGGAGTCTACACAGGAGCCATATGAATCATATGGTAAGATTATGTTTAGCTTTTTAAGAAGCTGTCAAATTGTCTTCCAAAAGGTTTGTGCCATTTTATATTTGCACCAGGAATAAATGAGACTTTCTGTTGCTCCAAATTCTTATCAGCATTTGGCATTATTAGGATTTTAATATGTTACATTTGCTTTTTTTTTTTTTTTTTTTTTTTTTTTGACAGAGTCTCGCTCTGTTGCCCAGGCTGGAGTGCAATGGCGTGATCTCAGCTCACTGCAACATCTGCCTCCTAAGTGCAAGCGATTCTCATGCCTCAGCCTTCCAAGTAGTTGAGATTACAGACATGTGCCACCATGCCCAGCTAATTTTTAAACTTTTAGTAGGGACAGGGTTTCAACATGTTGGCCAGGGTGGTCTCAAACTTCCGATCTCAGGTGATCTGCCCCCCTCCATCTCCCAAAGTGCTGGGATTACAGGGGTGAGCCACCCGCCTGGCCCCACATTTGCTTTTTAAAAGAGTTGTAGTACTTCACTTGTTTTCAGATCTTATTCGGAGGCCAAATTAAAGGCCTTTAACAAAGCTCTTCTGATATTTGAAGAAATTCCACAGGCTCTCCCTGTTTCTCTTGAACCTTCACATTCCAGTCCTCCTCAGGGTCATTCCTATCTGGCCCTTGGCAGTCACAGGCCCCCTGCTGCAATAAGCCAGACCTTCTTTGCTCTCCCTGTCCTCCAAATAGTGCCTTCTCCTAACTCTTCACTTGCCAAGCACTTCATTCAAACCCAGCTCTACCCTACACCACGTCTAGCGAGCCTGCCCTGCCTAACATCCTCCTGCTCTGGACTTCTTCCCCTGCCACCTCACTGACCTCACTATGCCTCCAGTCCAGTCCAAGGAAACTGGAAACTGTTTCTGTAAAATGCCTTCTTTGCAAAGTTGTTATGAGGATTAAATCAAATTATGAAAGTAAAAGTGCATAGGGGTAGGTGGTTTTACTGGAAAATTCCACTACATGAACTGTTCTAGAAAGTAGAAAAGGAAGGAACACTTTTCAATTCATTTTATAAAGCCAGTGTTACCCGGATATCAAACCAGGCAAAGATAGTACAAAGAAGAAACTATAGACCAGTATTCTTTATGATTGTTTACTCAAAGATCCTTAGCAAATGTTAGCAAATAGAATCCTGCTATATAGAGAAAGAATTATACACTGTGACTAAGTGGTATATCTTCCAGGGATGCAAGGCTGTTCAGTATTTGAAAAGTCATTCAATGTGATCCACCAGCAGGCTAAAGAAAATTCTCATGATCCTATCAATTGATGCAGAAAAAGCATTTGACAAAATTCAACATTCATTCATGACAAAAACTCTCAGTAAAGCAGGAATAGAAAGAAACTTTCTCGACTTCATAAAGAGCAGCTGCAAAAACCTACAACTAACATCATAATTGGTGAAAGATTGAATGCTTTTTTCCTAAAATCAAGAACAAAGAACGTTTGCTCTCACTGCTGTTATTCAACCAGAAGTTCTAGTGCACACCATAAGGCAAGAAAAGAAAATAAAAGGCATATAGATAAACAAAGGAAAATAAAAAACCTGTCTCTATTTGTACATGACTTGATCATCTACTTTGAAATCCCAAGAAATTGGCTAGGCGCGGTGGCTTATGCCTGTAATCCTAGTACTTTGGGAGGCTGAGGTGAGCAGATCACCTGAGGTCTGGAGCTTGAGACCAGCCTGACCAACATGGAGAAACCCGTCTCTACTAAATATTCAAAATCAGCCAGGCATGGTGGCACATGCCTATAATCCCAGCTACTTGGGAGCCTGAGGTAGGAGAATCTCTTGAACCCTGGAGGTGGAGTTTGCAGTGAGCCAAGATCGTGCCATTGCACTCTAGCCTGGGCGACAAGAGCAAAACTCCATCTCAAAAAAAAAAAAAAAAAAAGAAAAGAAAAAAAAGAAAAAGAAAAAGAAAAAAAGAAATCCCAAGAAATCTACAAGGAAACTCCAGAAACTAATAAATGAGTTCAGCAATGTCATAAGTTAACAAGATCAACATAAGAAAATAAATTGTATTTCCATATGCTGGCAACAAACAAGTGGAAATCAAAATAAAAATACAAAGCAAATCTTAATCAAGCAAGTGAAATACTTAGGTATAAATATAATAAAACATATACAGGGCTTGTATGCTACAAGCTAAGAGATGCTGAAGAAAGAAATGAAAGAAGATCTAAATAAATGTAGAGACATATGCATTTTAAATCTTAACTGAGAGTCCTTTTCAAGGATGCCTTCAACCCTTTATTCTCATGTACACTGTATCTATGCTGCCTCTGTTAACACAGGAACAGAACATATATTTGAATTCAGTGCCACAGCAAGTCATAGAAGATACTGCCAATCCTGAATTTATTTGGGTGAATATGCTCCTATTGAGTTGGATGCCATAGTCTAGTGGTTAGGAACAACAACAAAAAAATGAAGAGATATACCATGTTATGTACTGGAAGACTCAACACAGTCAAGATGCTAATTCTCCCCAAAAATGATATATAAATTTAGTGTACTTCCCGTCAAAATCACAGCAAGATCTTTAAAAATATAGTGACAGAATTCTAAAATGTACATGGAAAGTCATAGGAGTTAGAATAGTTCATAGCAGCTTTATTT